TTGAAATGGGCATCACTGGATGCATTATAGAAGGCAGCACGAAGTAATGGTATGCTTTGGCAATACAGCATTAGCTAATTTATCCCAAATCTACAAAATTGTCTGAATATTTTGTGAAAAGCTCAAATAGCAGAATGAATCAATGGCTTTTCCAACTTTTAAGTCTAGTTACTGGCTGCCCATAAAAAGAAACGTATTTTATTGTTAGAAATTGCAGAAATATTGCCTGAAGGAAGAATACCTCCCATCTCATTTTATTGGAAATGACACAGTCTGTTGACCATGAAATAGTCACTGAATTTGCATCATAGTAATGAGCAATGTAAACAAAGTTTGACGTCTTGTAACAGGTGAGAATCTGTGAAAATAAAAGTCAGTGACATAAGACGTCCATGTATTTCAGGCAACAATATTCAACACAATCAAGAAGGATTTCCACTTGTAAAGCAAAATACAGTGGACAGTGAAATCACTGAAATCATGTGGTGTGATCTGATGAATTACGTCTCACTCTTTCCTTCAGAATAAAAGTATGGCGAAAACTATATGAGATAATCGGTCTTGCTTGTGTTGTTTCAACAGTGCAAGATTTTGGGGGCGGTTTGATGATGTAAGAAACATTCTTGTAGAAAAAAATGAATCCCTTTATCTTCTTATAAGGGGGGGAGGGGAATAATACCAATAATACCCTGAATGTATTTGAACATTATGCCAATCATGTTTACCTTGCAATTCTACGTTTACTCATTGACAGACAATATGATAATAGAACAAAAATCCTGTGCTTGTTCATCACTGGATTTCAGTAAGATTGATATATATATATATATATGTACATATTTGTGTTTATGGAATGTAAGATTGATATATATATATATATATTATATATGTATATTTTTATGTATATGGAATATAACGTGTTCAAAATTTTGGACTGTTTTGTTTTATATTTTTCCGGTTTTATTTCTAACAATAAACATATACCACGTGAACAAAAATTTAATTCAAATATTACTCTCTAACGTCTCCATCTAGCGTGGAAAGAATAAAACACAACTTGTGTTATTTATGAAAAGTAATCAAACTGTATGTTGACCAGTTCTAAATCAAAGACACACATTGAATTTTCAGAATTATTTCTGTATGAAAAAATTTTCATTAGATCAGTAATACTAAAACTTCCAACATTAAATAATATTTTGGTAGTTCATTCAGTTTTGTTTGTTAATTAAATTTTGTTCAAATAACGAAAAGTTTATTTTAGTAGTTGTTCAAAGTTACTGTGTTACAAGTGTTGGAGAGTACAAATAGCTCCATTTTTAAAAACATTATAAAACAATACTGAATTATCTGAACTTTTTGACTTCATACAAGTAACGACCTATTTATTTTAATATTTTTGTAAATACTACATCTCCTGGTCTACATATAAATATTAAAGTTTAACATGTAGAAGATTTTGATCTGATTTTATAAATCAATGATAAATTAATAAGAGTTAGAAACTGTTTAGTTTTCAAATAATAACAGCCAATTATCATATGATCATATTGTTACGACAGCGGAAGTCACACGACGCTGGGAGCATTCGCGCTGGAGTTTCTCGAAGGATCATGAATTATCGAGGAACCCCGCGAATGTCCGAGGTTTGCTAGACGCCCTCTTTTTTAGTATATAAGCCTGGCGAGAAAACCAGCGGGATTGAAGATATAGATAATTGAGTCAAGCGAACTGTAGGCACCGTAAGTAAAGTGTGAGAATCACTGTGAGTTATAGCATGTGTTATAAAAGTAGCTAAGTTTAACGTACTGATTCGAAATTCTGTGTATTACAAAGTTTTATCGAGGAAAAAATAAACTGGTTTAATTAAGAAAGGACTTGTATCGCTGAAGTTCCTCGGAAAGAATTTATAACGGAAATGAACAAACAAGCAGATACGTAACAATATTAATAAACGTATAAACTAGGCATCTGTCTAACTTCTACACAAAATTTCCCTAGGATGTTGGCGAGATTTCCGACGTTGTTTGCAAATTAGGCCTACAAAAGTCAGTGTGTTTCACGCTGTTACAAAAAAATTGTTGTCAGGAAAGTTTTGCTACGTTGTACACATACATGACAACGGCCTTAATAAGGGGCAACATTGATGCAATTTGTAACTCAGTGTTTGGTAACATTGAAAAAATGTTTCATATCATGTGATGCGCTCTTGGCCAGTCACGGCCAAGAATTCATGCTAGGGTGTAGAATACTAATCAATAACACATAAATTATACAAAACCCTGATATGATGACCACTTAATATTAAAGTAAAGATATTAATTTTCATTTGGAGTTTTTATAATCCAGACATATAATGGATACTCCTCCGGGTGGTTCATTGCTAAGTCTCAAAGCTTAATAACTTTTAACGTAGGGCAGAGCACAGATAGCCCATTGTGTAGCTTTGTGCTTAGTAATAAACAAACATAATGGATACATATATGATTCGAAAAATATGTTTTTTTTTAGATTATGATGATGGTCTCAGCCCTAACAGAAAGCCATCTACAAACCAAAAGAAATCGGGAGAGCCCTGTATAAATCAATGAGTGGTTGCATTACAGCTAAACACATCTGCATCAAGAAAAGAAAAAATATATAATTGGACGAAATCAAAAGTCTTTATATGCAGGGTTTTCAATGGTAAATGTAAGACCAATGACACATTAGTACATGGAAGCATTTTTCCAATAACCACTGATACCAGATCGGTAACTCAAAGTGTAAGAAGTTACAAGACGGTTATCAATTACTATGCTTACAAAGACCAGTAGCTTAAAAGGCTAGTGTAGTTATGGATGGATCAGACAGCTATAATAATTTCCCTTTACTCGTAATCATAAGAAAAAGAGAATTTTTGGAAATGAGAGCTTTGGTTATAGTGTTGTTAATACACTTACACCCATTTGACCGCCATAAATATTTGGTTTTCTAAGCCTTTTCCGCGAAACTATCTTCGCTTTGTATGTTTGTAGTTTTAGGTACAAATATCAAAATTAATATTATTTCCAAAACTTTAAGTTCTACCTTATTCCAAAGAGCAACAAAATAAAGCAAGTCAATTTTAGAAACAATTTTATAATCGCGGTAGCGACATATTTTAACAATATACTTTACTCGTGAATAAAGCTTAAAATAATCAACATTTAGTAAACATTTTGTTTCAAACTTTGTAATACTAAAATAAGTTGAATTTATGAATTTATTTAAACCATGTGTCTCCCTTGTAATTACAGGTTTCTTATTGAATAAACTGCAAGAAGCCACCTGATAACTTCTATTTGGAGGTTTGAATTTCGCGCAAAGCTACATGAGGGCTATCTGCACTAGCCATCCCTAATTTAGCAATGAAAGTCCAAAAGGAAGCCAGCTAGTCATCACCACCCATCGTCAACTCTTGGGCTACCAACGAATAGTGGGATTGACAGTCACACGGTTGAAATGGCGAGCATTTTTTGGTCGGATGGGGATTCGAACCCGCGACCCACAAATTGCAAGTCGAGAGCCTTAACACTTGGCAATGCCGGGCTGTGTGGAGGTAAGCACAAAGCTACCCAATTGTTCACCACGAGTATCAAAACTCGGATTTTATTGCTATAAGCCTTCAGACTTACCATTGAGCCAAAGGGGGGGGGGGTGCCTAACAACAAAGATTTTAAGTTCTACTTCGTACACCTTCAGTTGAAAAACAAAACATGAATGAGAATGGGAATTTTATCAAGTTAACAATAAATAAATAACTGATTTCATGATTATAATTGCCAGAAGTAGTTATCATTCAAAACTACAGTTCCAGAACTTATTTAGCAGCCATTGTAGCCGCCACCAAAGGAGTCCTGGGTATATATTCATGTGTAACTGACGTCAGTAATAACTTATGGTATATGGAACAAATTCGTTCTCAAGAACTTACATGTATTTTAATTTCTTGGTTGTGTTAAACCGGAATTAGCAAGTACTTATATCTGAATCCATTAAGTCGTTCCAGTTTTAACTCCCAGAATGTGTTTCTTGAAATGCAGAGGAACGATAAAAGCGTTAAACAGGATAGTTTAATAGACTTTATAAATATAGTAATAAATTTTGAGAAACTGTAAGAATCTCATATACCAAACAAAAATAAATAGATGCCAGCTAGACTTATTCAACCATCTTTATGTTTCATAACATTAATGTTGTCTTGTAAAACTTACCTGTAAATCTAATCTCTCATTTATCAAAAAAAGAGCTACTCTCATTGACAGTCAATAAAATATAAAAAAAGGTTTAAATAATGATTTTGGATCATTTATAAATATATAAAAAAACAGAAAATATCAAGGTATTTAATATGGTTGTTTTATTACACCAAATGCCACATTTAATTTTGCCTTTAGTTTATTTAACCTGGTTCAGTGCGTTCAGTAGGCCTATGTTAAGAAGAACGACACCGCCCCTGTAAGATACTAAAACAATTTATCTACCAGTTGATACATGAAGCCTTTATTATAATAATTTTCACAAACACCAGTGAGTTTTCTTTAAATGTAAAGGTACACACACACACACACACACGAAAGGATACAAAAGCCTCGGCCAAATTTGAAGATGTAGTCGACAGATGGTTGTAATTAATTATCGTTATGAAATGTGAGACTGGAAAAATGTTCCTCAAAAATATTATTTCATATAAAGAAATATGTCCTTAATACTTTCCATGTTAAAATCCTTGTATATTGAGTAATTACTTTAGTTACTTGGACAAACAATAATTACTAGTCTGATATACATGACCAGATCTACTAACAACAAATCGCCAGGTATAAATAGTTTCCTCTCCACTAGTTACTTAGAATTGCGCATGTGCAAGCTGATGAGTAATCCCCAAACGGTATAATCTGTTACGCTACTCCATGGGCCAGTTATTTTGACATTCCCTGGTGGCAGAATCTACAAGCTGAATTATCGTCCAGAGTAAGAAACACATTGTAACTGACGTATAGTGGTGATCAGACGAATGAAAGGGTGCTTGTAATAACAGTGGGTTTAATTGGAGAAAGCTAAAACAATTACTACTCATATTATTTGATTAATAAATTTTTACTATATTGGAAGTAATAACAGCAGTGTGTAAATTTTTCATTGAGTTAACGATGCCTTATCTGTTGGAAAATCAAGGAACGCCAATTGAGGTGCATTTGGTGAGTAAGTAACGCAATAGGGTTACTTCGGTATGTTATTGGTAAGGAATATATTTTCAACTTTAATTTTCTTCTAACCTTCTACAGTATATTTTTATTTTTGAATTAGTAAAGTGAGTTTTCAGGGATTGCACTCTGATCTGGAAGCAAAAATTATATGAAATAGTTAGAACTGAAACTATGGTAATTAGAACTTGCAACTCTACGTTCTTTGTAGTTTCTTTAGTCAACTAAATAAATAGGTCTAAGGAATTTAATAATACTTACATTTTGGGTTTGTAAGGGCTGAATTCGACAGGACTCTGAACTATATGTATCTCGGACTGTAAAGTCCAGAATTTATTTTTGGGCAAATGTTATTGTTAAAAATGATATTAACAGCATACAGTTTTAGGAGTTTAAGACTTGTTAAAATTAAAAGGGCTGAACTCGAACCCAAAACTGTGCTCGTTTTCATTTTGTCATTTAATTTCTTCATGTTCAGTTTCTGGCGTTAGAGCAAAATCTACCTTAAAGAAATCAGGATCAAAGAAGATATTTTCTTCATTCTTCTTGCAAGAATTCGAAGTTCCATTTGATCAAAAAACCTACCTCAGTTGTTTATTTATCTGGTTTTATAAACAGTTGGTTCAGCTTATAGTGAATTTATCTAATCCATCGTCACGATCGTCTGACGAATCTTTGGGCTCCATTAATTCACAGTATCGTTTTTTCTTTGTTTTATACCTGTAAGAGACGAGAAAGAAGGTAACGAACAACTCACTATGGTAAAGTGGCGAAAGTGACAATAAGTTGTTAAGACAAATCTTGGAATGAATTATAAAATTATTAACGGTTTCCGGTGAAAATTGTATGTTTGTACGTTTAAGTTTAGACAAACGCTGACTAGTAAACTTAACGCATGAAATAGGTTTTGTGTTTTGTTTGTTTGTAATTAAAGCACAAAGCTACACAATGGGCTATCTGTGCTCTGCCCACCACGATTGTTTATTCTGTTTATTTGTAATTAAGCACAAAGCTACACAATGGGTTATCTGTGCTCTGCCCACCACGATTGTTTATTCTGTTTATTTGTAATTAAGCACAAAGCTACACAATGGGCTATCTTTGCCCTGCCCACCACGATTGTTTATTCTGTTTATTTGTAATTAAGCACAAAGCTACACAATGGGCTATCTGTGCTCTGCCCACCACGAGTATCGAAACCCGGTTTCTAGCATTGTAAGTCCACAGACATGCCATTGTGCCACTGGGGGGCCACATGAAATATACATATTGAGTTATATATTTGGCTTAACATTGATCTTCCTTTATTTTTCAACAATTATTATATTTTAACCCACTTCCCGCTAAATCTGTTTTTTAAACTTTATAAATAACCAACCCAGCAAGTTATTCAAGAATGTTTGAAAAATTATAGATATAAAAGGAACATCATACGCCCAGAAGAAAGACGAAACTATCATTGAGTTGTAACTTTTTTAGTTTTAAAGCTAAACTAAACGGTAGTCGGTTTTATTCAATCACTACAATGATTTCCACCAAAAACTGTCTGCTAGTGGATCAGCGTAAGTTTATGGACTTAAAACACTAAATTTCAGGTTCGATTCCCTGTGGTGGACAGAGCGCAAATAGCTCAATGGGTAGAACAAAAAACAACATATAAGTTCTCTCTTCGTATTATAGACCACGTGGTACAGTTATTTTTATTAAAGACAGCACTTCATGTATATGATTAAAATTGATTAAAAGACTGTCCCCACTACAATTGTCTCAGCAGTAAGTTTAAAGATTTATAACGCCAAAAACCCATGATGGACACATACAAATACAGCCCATTGTGAAGCTTTATGCTTAACAACAAACAAACGAAATTAGAAGACTAATCTACAAATATTTCAATAAACATAATTCATAAGGTTTTTTGCTTTAGAATAACAGTTATTTGATATTAGTTTTAACTGTTAAACTATAGTCTGCTTAACGAAGAATACACAGTATTTTGACAAAACAGAAAACTGGATCTCTAATCAGACAAGATGTTTGAAACTCAAAATAATATATGTTCAATATAGAATTAAATAAGTATTTAACAACGAGTTAAAAATGTATTCAGACTCAAACTTTTATTTTTATTGTTTTTATTGTTTTTTTTTATTAATTATATCAAGTTAACTTGTGATAAATTATCTCTCTATGCGTCGCTAGCTAGCTAACATTTCGTCTTAAATTTACCACTATAATAATTGTGAATAATTACATTTACTTTATGGTGGCAAGCATTGTTTATTACTAAAGTTCGTTTTTTTGTTACATTTGTTGCTTTTGCCTCTAAGGTGAAGTATGAGGATATTTAAACATTTAATTAATTGAAACAAGCAAACAAACACATATTTAAATAGAATATAAATCTCAGGGTGGTTGCTTGAAGTTAGTTTATTAATTTTGGTTTGTTTGAAGTTAACCACAAAGCTAAACAATGGGCTACCTGTGCTTTGCCCGCCACGGGTATCGAAATCCGGTTTCTAGTGCTGTAAATCCGAGTTAGTTCGTTACAACTGTTTGGTTTTTTTGGTAAAAAAATTGACAAAGAAATTAGCCAAGGTATATTTATATAATATTGATTAACAACATCGATTTAAAATTAAATATCATGAAACGTCTATAATAAAACAGGACTATTCATTTACTTTGTGAAATAAAATAAATTAAACAGCTGGCCTAAAATATACAAAGCTGTTTTGAAGTAAAGTTGAATAAGTGACGGCGAGTTATTTATCCACCAAACAATATTCCTTGTTGTTTTTTAAACGCAATTTGCAGTAGATTTTTGACGAATTACATACTGTTTAAAAACATTATTGTAAATTAGTAGATTACAAATTCATATAATTCTTGATACAGGGTTCTAACGTAGTATAAAATGCACAAGATGTTTAACCTTTTAACTATACATTTTTGAAGCCTTCGAACTGAAACCAATCCATTACTTCACTGGTTGAATGATGAACATTTTTAAAAAGTGGCGAAAGCTTATATACATATGAAACTCAATATGAATGATAAGTTGAGTAATGTACATATTTTAATCTATTATAATATTATATTATTATGATATTACATATTTTAATTTTTCTTGTTTTCTTGGACATCGGTTAACTAATAATGTTTATGAACTGTAATAAAAGACAAAAACATGGGTAATGCAGCATCCACAATTCTAAACAATGATCTAAAGGTGTCTGACATTAACGTTTTTCTACCATTCTTTTGTAGAACTCTCTAGAGTTAATATTGTTAAACTGAAACATGAATCACTTTGAATCCTCCTCCGTGAAGGAATAATGGATACCATCAGAGATAGGAACTGAAGTTTAATACTGTAGTGGTAAGATGAGTTGTACGTAGTTTTATCATGGGTGTGACCTTTTCACAGGATTAACTGCCACACCCTGAGTATGTTATTAAACCTATTGAATTTTCTCGCACATGACCATTAACAGATTAATAAAACTTTATACATTAAAGTCATTTTAAAAAACTAGGAAAGTAAAATTTTAGATCCTTTCCTACTCTCTTGAAATGGTAATTATTGTTTGACAATTATGCCTAAAGCCTGTTGCCAAATCTGTTGAAGTGTAACAGTTCGTCTAAGATCATTAGTTTGATGTACTAAAATAGTAAACATGGAATTTAATGTACACATTTCTATACATTCAATATTTTATTGGATCGCCAGTTTTAAAATTCAGCAGCCAACACCATAAGAAATGTATATATATATATATAACAAAGAGAAATATAAGCCGACGAGATACAAGAACAAAAATGAAGATTACAAATGTTGCTATACATGTAATAAGAAGTGTCCTTTGCAAGTTAATAATTCTTTATCAATCTAAGAATTGGATCTATTAGTTCTCCAACTTAACTTTTCCTTGTCCTTCTAAGAATTGGATACATAGTTTCTCCAAGTTAACTATTCCTTATCCTTCTAAGAATTGGCTACATAGTTTCTCCAAGTTAACAGTTCCTTATCATTCTAATAATTGGATCTATAGTTTCTCCAAGTTAACTATTCCTTATCCTTCTAAGAAGTGGATACATAGTTTCTCCAACTTAACAGTTCCTTATCCTTCTAAGAAGTGGATACATAGTTTCTCCAAGTTAACTATTCCTTGTCCTTCTAAGAAGTGGATACATAATTTCTCCAAGTTAACTATTCCTTATCATTCTAATAATTGGATCTATAGTTTTTCCAAATTAACTTTTCCTTATAATTTTAAGAACTGGATCTATAGTTTCTCCAAGTTACAAGTTCCTTATCACTCTTTCTTATCATTTGTTGTCAAAGAACAAATATTGTTATATCCTATTTTTTAAACTTACTGGGAGTTGAAAAAGGAAAACAATTAACATAAGTCGAATAATATAGTTAAAAGTTTGACTAATCACCCACATTACAGTAGCTTTACCGACGTCCAATCCGTTTGTGTTGATATCAGTTTATGTCGTCCTAAACGTTGATTAAAGATTATACAAATATGGAATATGGTGGATTTGGATTTATTATTAATCCGAATTAATATAAGTAAGTTATAAATGATATAATCTGTGCTAGAGTTACAGGGGGCGTGGCGAATACTTCATCCAGTGTGACAGGTACCGTACACACGCTGACGTACAGGAACTGCGATATAAGTTAACACAGTGAAACCACATAAATTAGCAAAGATCCTGTGTTTATATTAATATTACATCTGCTAAAGGTTTGTGCATGATGATGAATATGCTTGCTAAAGGTTTGTGCATGGTGATGAATGAACTTCCTTAACGCTTCGTTCATAACCATGAAATATTAAGAGAATTATTCAAGATGGGGAAAATTGGAAAAACCCCGAAGTTAAAAACGTTAATTTAGTAGTTTAGCTAAACATCAATAAACTAAATAAACGTTTTAGATTCAATTCCTGAAAATACTGCTTATTAACGATCTGAGACGT